ACCAGGAGGCAGTTTGGTGTTCAAAAGGGAGTTGTAGACACTAGGATGTCACTGTTGTACATTACAGAAATTATACATGTATTGAAGGATTAAGAAAAATGTCACTTGGCAGGACTTCAAGGCTGTTAACTAATACCCAGGTTGAAGATGCTTGCTTGGCTTGAATGCAGGAATTTTAATGTAATACTGGTCTCCTTCTACCAAACCATCCAGCAGAAATTGAGTTTCCCTTCAGAATTTTTTTTTTTTTACATAAGGCTATTAGTACTAGCGTGCTATTTTTAAATATCCCATGAAAATGTAGAAGTTAATCAGATCTACTGACAAGTTCCTTATAAGCATTGTCCTCCAGTGTCTGAGTCACTTATCGGTAGCTCAATTCACTAATTAGAAACTGGATCTTTTACTTTGCAATACAAATTTACCACCTGCTTGACAGCTTGGATGTGATGCGTTTTGTGATCATTTAGTGTCCATTGACCAAACAAATTTCGACTTGGTTTTTGGCTTGTCAGTAGAGGCTGGAGTTGGTTAAGGATCATGCTATTTAACTTGCCTGAAAAAATGCTTCTGATTTTTTGCTAAAAGCTGCTTCTTCTACCTTCCTTGCTCTCTTTCTCTTGTGCTGTCTGGGTAAAGTTTTGGGGCTACAAGCAGCAGCCAGAGCCGGTAAAGCCCTCACATATATTGTCGTGCATGGGCGCTTTGTCACTGTTTGTGCTGAATATGTGCATTTGCTCTTGAGCTATCTTTTTATTTTCATTTTGTTTAAATCAAGTCTTCTTTTTTTTAAAAAGAAAAAAAGAAAAAAACCCTAAAAGTGATGTGCATTTTACTGCAATGTCTTTTTTTTTAAATAAATTGGGTTAATTAAGAAAAGGATGAGTATGCAGCCCTGGATGTGTTAGAAAACCTTCTGTACTCCAGGCCATGCTTTCTGTAAGCGCTGGTTGTCAGGGGCTCCATTTGCATGTTTTATTCAGGAATGATATATACACAGAATTAGGCTGGAGTGTCATTTGAAGACTGAACACAATAAGAAATGCCCCATGGAAGGCCTCATTAGTAGGAACCTAGGGTGTGCTGTGTTGAATTGCACTGCTTTTAAAGAGCGATTATAAAGTTTGGTATCCTGTCTCCTACTCAGTGTTTCAAAAGATGACAAATCCCCACCCATTCTCCCTTTTCAGTATCCATCAGCTAAATTGTGCAGTTCTGCCTACAGAAGTTAGGTAAGACTTCCTTGCTGATACGTGCAGTGTTTCAAGCATTGTTTGACATCCTTTAGTTGCTAATCCTGGCTAGTTATCTCTTTCTATGACAAGACATTAAAGTAAGCGAAGACAAGGTCCAGGTTAATAAGCTGCAACCTGCCCCTTTGAAAAGCCCACGCAATTTTTTAGAGATTTTTTTGCATTGAATTTTTTCCCCAAAAAAATTATTTATAAAGAGAAGTGGTGGCAGCCTAGGACATGAGTCACACTTCAGAAACGAATCATCAATAAAGAAGATGTCACCCAAAAGGAAAAACCAATGTTGTTGGGGTGGGGAAAAAAACAGTATTTCAGAGTGAGGAAAGGAATGAGTTTTTATGGTTTCAAGTCATGCTGTCCTTTTAATATTATCCTTCTGCTAGACTCATGTTGCAACTTCCTCGCTCTAAATCCCTGGATTTACATTAGTTTAAACATCCTCTCTAAAACATAGAAGCCTTATGCTTCTACCCTAGATTTAACTTTATTATTTTCCTGGAATGCTTGCATGCCTTAGCAAACACCTGAAGCCAGACATAAGTATAATCATCCTCTGACAGGTTTGACTCCAGTATGTTGCTTGGAAGTGGAATTGGTTATTACGATTATTAACAGTTAATGTTACCTGTGTCACAGGAAGGACTATTTCCTTGTGAAAGAATGACCATCCTTTCCTGCTGAAAAGGCCTACCATTCGCAGGAACATAAGAGTCGAGTACCGTTTTTCTCCCACTATGCGTGAAGGCTCAGGGCTTAGCAATGGGGCTATCCTCTGGGCTGTTGCTGGTTGAGAGGTGGTGCTTGCTTCTGTCGCTCGATCAAAGATGGACCTTTCTTGAGCTCTGGGAGCTTTTACAGCCTTACTGTCTTGCATATCTGGGGTTTATTATTTTTTGGGGGGGGTTGTTTTTATTTCCTATGACATTTTTTGTAGCATTGCATTTTGTGTGCTTTCAGCTCACTCTGTTGCTTGTCTGAGGCAAAGCTTAAGGCTTTTCTGTCCTTGTTGAGATTTTTGCAGGCTAGTTTCTCGGAGAATGTTGGCTGTATTTTATGAAAGAAAGTATAACTGACTTTGTTTTTTGTTTTGCTTTTAAATAGGCATCAGAGTTAGGTCAGACATTAAATGAAAATGTTCTCAAACCTGCACAAGAAAAGGTAACTTTGGAAACTAGTCAATTATGCAGTGTGATTACATGACCTAGGAAGTGATTCTGTTTCCTCCTGCCACATGGATAGGTTGTCAGCACATCATTTATTATTGATACACTGGCATAGCAACAAAGGGAAAACTTCAAATACTTCGGTATTAATAATATTACCAAAGAAATGTTTGCATTTTTGCCCCTGCACAAGAAAAAAATCAGGGCAAATACTTCATCGCAGGGGGGGCTGGACCTGATGCTCTTGTAAGGTCCCTTCCAGCCCCTAACATCTATGATTCTCTGTATAAGCAATTCAGGGAAATACCCATTTGCTGTTCCTTTTATTCTTTCACCCCTATGAGATGTCCTGTTCTTGCCATCTTCCTTCCAGGTATGGAGAGCCCTATGGTGTTCTTTAACGGTCTGGAAATGTTAATGATAGCCAGTGTTTTAATTAATGAATACTACCCTTGTGAGGGCTCTCTTTCTTAATGCTCACCTTTTTTACTGCCAGCTTTTTCTCCATTCAAATAAGCACCTTTAAACCCTACCAGAGCACCCACATTTACATAAGGATCAGTGTAAATTAGTGATAATACACTTTCAGGCTGAGTGAAGACAGCTGTTAATAGAAACCAAAGTAAAAATTACAAGAGGGTATTAATTTTTTAGATACTCTGTCACTAGCCTATTGAGACATTTTATTTGGAAAGCATTACCAGTTGGTGTCACTACCGAATTTATGCTATACTGTTTCTAGGAAGTCAGAATATCAGCTTAAATGATCAAAAGCAAGAGGTGTGTGTGGGGCGGGGGGAGTCTGTCTTCTCCCATGTCTAGCTATTTGCTTTTTAGACAAAGTGATATGGGTGAATCTAAGTGAATCCTGAGCAGTAACTGGCAAATAAAATAGAATAAGCAGCCACATGGAGCAAATGGTGGTGGCAGGTTCTTTTTTCCTATTTAAGTCATAGTTTATGGTGTGTCAAATGTTGTCGTCTTCCTTGTTCCTGTTTTACATTTTGTTTAAATCTTTTTTCCCCCCTTTTGACATGCATTTTTCCTGTACTCTTAAATATTTTAAAGCTGTTCCAAAACATTAATAATTTAGATCATAACTGTTTCAGAAAGAGACCTAATTACCTATAAATCTTTTCCTAAATTTACTTGTTTTGGTAAAAAAGAAGGAAATAGTAATTTTTGTTTCTGGGGGTGGGGTGGAGGCAAGGGGGGGGTGTATATCATTAGCCCTGTAGGATGTGGGTTCATGTCTAATGAAAAGTGTAGTGTCACCCAGGAGAGTCATTACTCTTTTATCACACGTTCATCCAATTGACTTGCCTTTAGTGGAGTGTTTTGAATCACAGAAGAGCATTTTAATGAGTTTTCCACTCTGTTATCCTGGATCTTTTTTTTTTTTTTAGAGTAGAATCTCTGTTGAGATAAATTTATCGTCTAATCACAATTTTTGTTTTGCCAGACATGGTAGATTCTTTACAGATACAATTATCCTAGTTGTACAATGCAGCCAATGTACTGTTTTATCTTAGGGTGCTTTGCCCATAGTTCTGCATCTTCCTGTAACTTAATATCCTCTGTATTTTGGAGGGTTACTCTGCTGACCAGTGTTGCACACCAGGTAGGGTAAATAGTGCAAAACTGCCTCTGGGTAGAATTCGTTTCTGATTCTAGCTTTGCGAGTACCTAACTGACAGCAGGTAGCAGTGGTCTGGCTCCTATGCAACTGGCAAGTTACTTGTAGGCTTTTTTGTTGTTGTTTTCAGCTGGCTGCAGGGTCTCAGCTGGTGAAAAACACGCGTTCCAGCGTGCTTCAAATGATCAAAAGGCAAAGGCTTCACAGTCCCTTCAAAGTTTCCAGGAGGCTTGTGCCATAGTGAAAAGATACCTGTTTTCAACCTTGTCTTTATAACTGCCTTCATTTCAGTCTCCCCAGAGTTGCATTTTATTTTATTTTAATAAAATGCGTTCCTTGTAAACAGTGATGTAGTAAGTTTGATTGGGATTTTTGGTTTTAATGATCAGGGTCCCTATAATAGTGCCCTTTCAAAAGTCAGTGGAAAGTTCCTACTAGCTTCAAAGGATTGCCCATACTCAAGAGTAGCCTTCATATTTTGTTTTCTTAATGTTGTCTAGCAAGTCAAATATATCATGGCTTGGTTTTTACCTTGTGTCTCTCAGCCATTATCACAAATTGTCCTGTTTTTCAGCTGTTGATGTTATTTTGTGTCACAACTAACTGCAGGCACTTTGATTCATCTAGGTGAAAGAGGGAAAACTTTTTGAGGAGGTCACCGTAGGGGTATCTCAGTTGGCTACCAAGGTACGAGAAGGCCTGCCTGACCATTAGGAGGCCAAATATTAAGCAAGTCTCCATATTCTTCCTCAAGCCCAGGTCATAGAGAGAAGGAGCAGATATTTTACAAATGGTTTCTCCTTTCCTCTGTTTATTTGTATTTATACAAGCAAATCTGGATAAAAGATGCTCATGCCATTTTTAGTGTGACCACTTGATGCAGAGGTGAGTGTGCATAGCTGCAGGCACATTAATTAGAGCTTAGCAGCATCCTCATAATGATTACACTGAGTGTGTGACGCAGGCTCGCAATCAAATTGGCAAACAAAATTCTGGCAGTAAATGTGGGCCAAAAGAATATGGAGACAGCTTACATGGAGTATCTGCAATTCATGTTATTAATGTGTGTCCTTTTTTCCCCCCCATCTCTTCCTATTTTGCTGCCATTGCTTGGTTATGGGGTAAGTGCTCCTACAGCTGCTGGTTACAAGAGGCTTGCAGAATGTTACAACTGATTCAATATCTTGAACAGCCCTTTTGATAGTGATGTTCCTTCTGCCATGAGCAGCTGAAGTCAGCTTTGGAAGCCATTTCCCATGTCAGTTTACTGCCAGGAGCTTTTCCTGCTTGAAAGGAAGGGAAGGGCTAAGTTGTTTTTTTTTGTTTTTGTTTTGTTTTTGTTTTTGTTTTAGCTAAAAGGTGAATTTATCCCTTATCTGTTTTGCTTAAGGCCTAACAACTTTGCCCCCTTGAGACTCTACAAGTCTATGCGAATCTGAGAATAGTTCCCATTCTTGGTGCCATTTCATGGTTTGCGATCCTCATCTCAGCACAACAGAAGACGATTCCCTCAACAGCAGCGTTCAGGAAAAGCAACTTTTGGCCTGTCCATGGGAGCTGTAAATTGAAATGACTTTATGAAACCTGTTAATATTCACATTAGTAATCTGTGAGCAAAGTTGGACCATGCATCACATGTGCTTGGTTACATGGTTTTGCTGCATTAGGAGTTACTCTGGATTTGTATCAGTATAGCTGAAATTGGAATCTGCACCCTGGTTTGAAGAGCTGCAATGCAGTCTGAATGACATAACAGTGACCAAAACCAGGTCCTGTTGCTACTCTTGATTTAGAAGTTACTTCACATGAACCACAGACGCATTCTTGAACAATATTAAGCTCCATTTGGATTGAATAGTTTTGACTGGGACTCCGTAACTTAAGGATTTTGAGTTAACTCCCTTTGAATAAACTGCCACAGGCAGTTTCTTTTCCTTTTATTATACCATTTTTAACACATTTGGCCAAGTTTCTGTGAAGCTGTCAACTTTGGTCTTTGCCGTAAATAGACTCCGTAATATGTAGCTAGCTGCCCTGCTAGTGACCAACACTGAGCATTTTCCTTTTCTGGCCAGACAGTGTAGGCATAAACTTGGTCTTATGAAGTTGGGGTCCAAGGCTAAGCAGTATGGGCATTATCTTTGCAGCATGCCCTGAAAATGCAGTGGTTTAAGTGCAAGATGTACTTCTCACTAAAAATAAATCCAGTTTTAATTGTCAGTTAAAACTATTGTTGGACTCCGAAGTAGGTGACTGGAATTGTGTGAGGCCACTTTCAATGCATCATCTTCATCTGAATGAGGAGAACATTTTCCTATGCTTTGTGGATTTTGGTAGAAATCTTTCTTATAACAAAAGTATCGTCTTAGTCCAAATGAACAAGGCAAAGCACCGAGTGTGAAGTAACTGCTGCTTCCTTTCTAGGTTCAGGGAGCTGGTAGTAAAGGATGGCGAGATGTCACCACTTTCTTTTCTGGCAAACCAGATGATCATTCTGAAAGGTACGGCCTTTGCCTTCTCAATCTCTTTTTAAAAAACATCAGAACATTTTTGATAATCCCTAACTTAAATTTCTTCTGCTGCAGTTTGAGGCCATTGCCCCTAGTCCTGTCTCCTACAGCCACAGAGAGAACGTTCTTCCTCTTTATAATCTCCCTTCCCATATTTGAAGGCTGTTATCAAATCCCCTCTCAGTCTTCTCTTCCTCAGACTTAATACTTTCAGCCTTTCCTTATAAAATATGCTTCCCAGGCCATTATTATTACGATTATTATTATTATTTTGGTGCTCTCTGGTGGTCTCTTTCCAATCTGTCCACATCTTTCGTGGTGCAGTTTTTCTTTCATAATGTAACTGGTCATCACCTTAGGGTGTTATACAAAGACTAAAATAGCTTATGACTAATTATTTTTTAATTTGTACTGAATGCATTGTATTTAATATTTCTAACACTATGAATTACAGCTTAAATCTGACTTCAGGAAAAAAAATACTTCCAGCACTTCTGCCTTGCTTCTCATTTTCATCTTCAAATTGGTTTGAGCAAAGGGCAGCAGCATCATTGTTTTCTCTGTTCATACTGGCTAATGTCAGAGCCCTGTAAATGCAAGAGGACCGCTAATGCTAATGTAAATGCAAGAGGACCACTTTTTTAGCAGACGCACCTCATTTAACATGGTCGCATTGTAGGAGCTGGAGTTGGATAGTTTACTCTTAAGCAGAGGAATCAGTTGAGTCATTTGAAATGAATGGAACCAAACCTAATTATTTTTTCCTCTTTTTTTTTTTTCCTTTCTCCCTTAAAAGACCAGCTGAGAGAGACAGTTATCAGAACAGTGGAGGAGAGGGCTACCAGAACAATAGTGTAGATCAAAGCTTCTGGGAAACATTTGGCAACTCAGATCCACCCAAGGCTCATAAATCTCCAAGCAGTGACAGCTGGACATACGTGGACAATTCCACTGAGAAGAAGAGCTCTGATAGCTGGGATGTCTGGGGTTCGGGGACAGTTTCCAACAACAAGAACAGTAACAGCGACAGCTGGGAGAACTGGGAGACCAACTGGGAAACTGCAGGAGGGGAGAGCAAGTCCAAAAAAACCCCGAAGAAAACAAAAAAGGTGTCCTCAGGCACCGAGGATGGGTGGGATAACCAGAACTGGTAGGACTCTAGCTTTATGCCACATGGCTAAGGAGGGAGGCTGTGCTGGTTGATGGGAGGAAAAAAAAACAAACCACACACACATAACTGGATTAACATGGTTTTCTCTATTGACCTGTTCCTTTGTGCTTCCCTGTCATTCTCCTTTCTTCTATTCCAGTTTAGAAAAAAAATAGTGTCTGATTCTCGTGTTCATATGAAGATATGGCGCTCCCATTGTCAAGGATGTCAGTAGATCTGTTCTCTTCACACTAGTGCTGTTGGAGCTGGGTATGCCAACCTACTTAAAGTAAAATCAGAGGAATAAATTGGTGCAAGCACGTTTTCTTGGCACGGTATTTGCATGTGTAGTTTCATGGGGCTGCCCATCCAGCCTTCGTAACTTCGGAGAGCATCTGGGGTGGAGAAGACAGGGAAAGGAGAGGAGATATCTTCAACTGATGTCCAACATTCATAAAAGTGAACTGCAGTTGCATAAGTGCCAGTTGAAATGCCTTTCTGGATTGCTGGGACTGCATTCAATCTGGCAATTCAAAATGGCCATTAAAACACTTTTTATTGAACGTGTTTTTAAACTTTACAAGGTTTGAGAACTTTTTAAAACTTTTTTTTTCCTTGGAGAGAATTCATAGATGAGAAAAATCTAGGGCTAGATAATTATTTGTATGTAACCCACCATTTTGTCAGCCTGACTGTATAAGGGTATTCAAAGTGGCACTACTTACACTCCTGCGTTTGCGTGTAGGCATTTACACAGTGCAGAATGCATGCAAGTGTGTAATGCACGGTTATGGCGTATATTCCTTTTAATTTAACTATGATGAAGGGGCCTTCCTGTGCCTCTCTAGCTTTCTTCCTTAATTTCACCTGCCATATTTGTTAAATTGAAACCCTTTTCCCTTCTGCATGGCACTGGACTGCCAATGCAGCAGGGAAACTGGAGAAATCCTGGAGCAGTAGCACAAAATGGGTGGAAGATGTGAGAACACAATGTAACTATATAGCCGGAGACAACCCACTTTCGCAATGGATTTAGCAGTGAAATTTTAGTTCAGTTTGTTAAACTTAGATAAATTTTATAATTGTTCTGTCACTTCTCCCTACCATTTCCTAGTACCTTTCTTTTTTTTTTTTCTTCTTTCTGTTTCTTTTAAGAGATACTATTTCGAAGAGGCTGTTGGAGCCCTACTTATGTCAGCATTACAGAATGGAGCAGGATATGAATGCTGGAGTCAGGTGTCAACTTCAACCATTTTAGCTGTTTTGCATGATCTATAAACATAAACTTTTGCATAGGGAAAACGGAAATAGAAGAATTCAGATCTTATTTCCCTTAACAGCAAAGGTGCCTTATGTTGAGTATTTCCATATTGCTGATAGCTCTACTTTTTTATTGTTAATGTGCTGTAATATTATACAATGTGACTAAATATTTTGAAGCCACTTGAAAACTTCACATCATGGTGCCAATTGGTAAAGTCTACTTCAAATGATAGCATGAAATTCTTGATCTGAACAACTGTGAAACCTTGAGAGTGCATCCAAGAAAATATATTGACTGTACGACAGATGAGACTCATGGTGTGATGAGTTTTTAGCTCTCAAATACTGATGCATTTCAGTTTTCACCATGGAGAAGGTTCAAGTGGACGCGGGCTATAAATGAGGTGTCTTTACCAGGCCTCTCTGCCCTCCACCACCTCTCCCGAATCATGATTTATCCAAAAAGTATTACCGGCTTCTTGGTTTGTAGTCTAGGTAGCAACATCTGTATTTACAGTCCAGGGAAGCGTAGGTCTTACAGGCTTTCTTAGCTGTATAGTCTTTCAGCTGTTTTCTGGCCCTGGCTTTTAAACTGCTGTCCTGACCTTTACCTCATTGGCTTTTTCTCATCTGTAGTGCCCTTTCAGTGATATGCGGAGAGACATGTGGACATTATGTCCTCTTGGAGAACCTTATGCAGTGAAGGTCATTATCCAGAGGGTGCTTGTGCCAGGTTAGTGTAAGGCCCCATGAGTCCCACTGAGGAAGTATCATTGGCACAGTGACCCTTTTAACAGGGGAAATCTAAGGCCTCTGATACCTCTTGCAGAACCATTGTCAAGAACACTCGCAACCTGACTCTTTATAAAGGTGACTTTTTTTATTCAAATTTGTCCTGTTCCAGAGATACCGTTGTCTTGGCTTGATTGCATGTTAAACACGTAACAATTTTTGTATTTTAATGCATACTCTCCTATGACCTGCTGCTCTTGTCACTTGTCTGCTGCCCAGTTTGAACCTGTAATGCATGTTCTTTGGAGGCCATGCCATGTAATTCATGTGAAGTGGTATTGCCCAGTCCTTGACTACCATTTAATTTTTGTGAAGTATTGCAGTAGTAGTGACAAGCAAAATGCATATGTTCGGCTGGGTTGCCTGACTGCTGAAACTGTCTGTCTAAAGTGATGAGAAGCTGATTCAGCTTCCTGCGTGCATTTGGATTGTTATGTCACTTTTGTCAACCTCCCCAAATATAAGGGGTTTTCCCCCCTCCTTTCTTCCCCCCCTAATAAGATGGGCTTTTATTTCATTCTGTATGCTCCGTAATAATTCACTACATGTGCATGCATCCTTGTACACCTTCATTTCATCCTTTGCCTAAATAAGGGGCTGTTTATATCACACTTGCAACTGTTTGGCACAGCCTAGTTTTTCAGGCTGCACTTTAAATTAGAAACCGTACATGCCTGATTGGGTAGACCTTTGTGAAAACGATGTTCTTTCAGTACAGAAGAAAATGAAGGAACATTTTTTTTCACCTGTAAAGAAATCTTACGCTGTTGTGGAGGCATAGAAGTATCCTAGGACCGTAGCTTGAGGATGGTAAAAAACAGCACTGTACTGGGAGATACAGATGCAAAAGTAAAACTAGGCCTTCTGCTAGGTTCAGGTGTAAATACAGTTCCATTTTTCTAGAACTGCTCAAATAAAAATGATTTTATTTTGGCCCATCTGTACCCAGAGTCTAGCATGAAGGTGAGGGATGGGGCAAACAGGACATTTTCTTCTTTGATCTTTTTGTTTTCTTGGGTTCTAGTTTCTTGGATAGGAGTTGGCTAAGAGAGCATCATCGCTGAGAACACCGATCAGTTTTCAGATTAAATGAAATGGGAAGGTCAGGGTAGGCGTGGAAGTAGTAACAAGCCCTCTCAGTTGTCACTCTTAACCATTCTTGTCCCAGGCCCCAGGAACTGAATTGCTGAGCTTTCTCATTCATAGATGTGCCCCAGTATTGAATTTGGGATGCACTGGCAGGGTGGGCAAACCTGTAGCATTGGTGCATGCTATACCTGTGTTGCGGTTAAACAAGACTTTGGTTTCTAGGGCTCTCACTTCTGCACCTTTTCTTTCACTAACACTGTGGGGGGAGGGGAGGGAAGCCACTGTAAAGACACTGGAGAAGGAGGGGACAAAGGAGATAAATCAGAGATGTCTTCTATTTGATATTGCATTATCCAGTTTAATCTTCCCTGTGATTTGGCCTCCATTTCATTGAAACTGATAGCTTCCTCATTGGCAGGCTGAATTTCTAGAAGTAGCCTCATGATTGGAGAGAAGATTTAGGACATTCAAGCTAAGTGCCATTTGCAAAAGAGCAAACCATGTTAGTTCTTGAGTGCTCCCAAACCGGAAACTGGACTTCCTCTTCCCAAGGGGTTAGGTTTTTAAAATGTTTCACTTTCTCTTAAATCAGTCCTGAGTTATTTTGAATGTCAAGAAATGCTTGGCCAACTCTTCCCTCATTCTAGAAATCTCAAGGATATTGCTGCTGCTTTTTTTTCCCACTCTGAACATTGTAACATTCCACAGGTTGATAATGTATTTATCGGTGTAAAACTCTGTGCAATAATTTAACAAGTGTAGGTGAAACCTCCTTTGTTGTCTAATGCAGGAAATTATTTAAAGATGCAGTGTCCCTGTCTGAGATTTAATTTAACAGTCAGTAGAAATATTACAAAATCCCTTTTGCCTTTTCATCATCCAATTTTAACATCCTTTTTTTCAAAGAGGGTTTGAGCAAAAGTCAAGAGGCAGACTCGTGCTTCAGTTTTGGACTGAAATGTTCTAGAAAGACAACTTGTAGAGCTGCTTATTGTTTTCATGCCAGCAGGAATTTGGCAAATGAGGGGTACTGTATCTTTAATTTTCCTAATGTGTTTTATGTGAAGTTCATGGGAGTAGCAATTTCAGTGAACAGTATTCCTTGTTCTGTAGAGTGGTACTGGACTTGAACTGCAGTGTCATCTATTAAAAGAGCATTACAATAAAGCAAAGAGAAACCGATGAGTATGGTGTCCAGCTCCTGAAGGGGCTGCATTCATTTTAAAAGAAGCTGCCATCTTTATGTGCCTTGAACTGGACTTCATTACAGTGAAATGTGGCTTAAGCAAACCCTTGTAGGATATCCCCAATTGCTGGTCTCATAAAAGTGAAGAAGGGTGTGACTCAGTTTAATTGATACTGTGGAAGGGGTCGGGAAGCAGGAGCTCGCTCAATGCGGACAGTGTAATTTTTTTACAATGTTCACTTTGAAAACTCATTTGTGGCAATGGGCAACCTGAGTGCTATGAGATAAAAAGGCAGCCAAGTGGTGTCATTCATGTCTGGTGCTGGAATCGCACATGTTCTTGACTGCAGGTTAGTGGGTATGCACAGAGCACTGTTGTGTTCAGAGAATGAACTTAAAAAATGAAGGGGAGGGGGAACTGCTGGACTTGGCAAGAAGGAGGTAAGGGGAGGAGCTAAACTACTTTTTAGCGAGTCCTATTAACATTATAGGTCCAGACCTATTACCATGGGTCCAGAGGAGAGCCACCCACATAATTAGAGGTCAGAGAAACAGGCCTGACGAGGAGAGGCTGAGAGGCACGGGACTCTTCAGCTTGGAGAAGCACAGGCTCAAGGGTGACTTGGTGGCAGCACATAAGAGGTGCGCATCAGGAACTGGGAGAAGGTCTGTTCACCAGGACATCCCAAGGGAAGACAAGGTCTCATAGTCACAAACTGCGGGAAGACCGTTTTAGACTGGACATAAGGAAAAACTTCTTTACTGTCTGAGTCGACAAGAGTCTGGACCAGAAGTAGTGCAGGCACCTACTGTAGATACGTTCAAGAAATGCCTGGATGCTCACCTTGCTGGGGTCATCCGATGGTCTCATGAGGTCCTTTCAAGGCCTAACGTGTATGAAATCTATGAAACGTCAAATCCTAATTTCTAAAATCTGTTTGTTTTAGGAATAGTTTAGGGTGACCTTGATCAACCACAACTGAAAACTGCTTGACTTGGATTGTTCCCGCAACAAAGAAGTGAGCCTCTGATCACAGAGTAGCACCGTGCAACTCGGGCAAAGACCAGCTATACGTTATCCACTCTACTACTGAGGGGAAAATAGCTTTCAGCGGTTCTTTATCCATTCCTGGCAGACATAGTTTTAAAGTAGCACCCCCTTCCAGCTCCCTTGGATTCCCAGGCCATTGACTTTATGGATCTGAAAGGAGTTGAATGTGTAGTGCATCTGGAGGGTTTCAACAGCAGCAGGCACCTGGGAGTATGAAATGGCAGATTGCTGGGGAGAGCTTGGTGTTTCTCTGAAATAATGCCATGTGCTCTTGACTATACCTTTGGGTTTCTTGACTCTTTCCATGATGCTCCTCTGAATGAGCCAGGCCATCACAAACCAAAATTCCCACCTCCACCCCAGGAGCCCAGCTGTGGTTGCCAGTCAGGCTTTCAAAGCTTTAAAGCAGGTAGCCTGCATGGACCTGTTTGTGGTGCCAGCTGCTGGCGCTCACCTGGGTCCAGCGGGGACTCGTCGTGGCATCAGTGCTGCGAGGAAGGAAATGTTGCTTCCCTTGACGCAGTTTGCTCATATGGAATCTAAGCCAGGTCGTGTGTGGGTCCTTAATTCAGGCCGTTCCTCCAGGCTTGAAATTTGCCAGCAGGAGCCAAGGCAGTTGGAGACATGAGCTGCCTTTTAAAAGAGGGAGGAGAGAATAAAGATTAGAAAGCCCATTTTAAGAAGACTCCCCGTGGAGACCAACGTAGGGGCAAAGATGGAGTCTCCCAAGCTATGCTGATGTTGGGGGCTGGCAAGTCCCCAGATGTGCCCCACCACCCTGAGCTCCCTAGTCCCTGCTTGTGCAGGAAGCCCAATGCTATCAGCTTCTCGCAGTCTGAAAACCTGCCTTTGTCCATTCGAGCTTTGCTCAGCAGCATCCCCCTGCGAGAGACTCCTCAGCTTTGTCCTGGCTGTTGGCTTACAATGGAGAAACCCAGCTCCTGCCAGGAGGGGGAAATAGCCTCAGCCTGTTTTTTCAGCCAGAAATTTGGATTTAAAGGGCTAAGGCCTAGTATTTGCAATCCTCCACCAGATTGCTTGGGGTTGCTCTTTAAAGTGGGGGCTTTACAAATGTATTTGCACATGCATTGAATACCCAAAGGTCAGCTTATGCCCATAGACCAGGGAATTAGATGGTTAATAAATTGCCACCACAATATTGCTTAAGATCAAATTCAGATTTAGGCCTTCATCCTCAATGAAGCCTTGTGGCACTGCCACTCCATTAACGCATGATGCTGTATGTGAAGGTTTTAGAGTGAACAGTTGCTGTTTTAACTAGTATCTTTTTCAAATTAAAATTTCTATTGACATTAGCAATTCTTCACCACACCACTGCCATACCCTAGTGTAAGGTGAGTAGTTTGGAGGTAGAATTTTTATAAGGACACAACATTGATCAGATCAACATTGACCTCCCACTCCGTGCCCCCTTCCTTCCACCAACACCCTGGTAGCAATGGATATCTCTTGGGGAGGATAGAAAAAAGCCCAGAGTAAGTCCACATAAATAAGAAGTCTTGCTACAACCTATAATGCCAATGACAGCGCACTGTGGTGCAAACTGGAACTTCCTCAGTGAACAACACCATATTGAAGCGACTTTCGACAGTGTGAAGGATCTTGGAAATGAAAAGCTCAGCCTTACTGAAAGCTGCCTTTTGCCTGGTAAGTGGGTACTTCCTAAGCACAGCAGCGTGTTGACTCCATTTGAATTTTAACATCTCCCTTTATGCAGTTTGCCTGTCAGACTTTGCAGGCTGAGCTTTGAAAACTTGGCCAAGTCTCTTAGACCTTTGTGTGTCGAAGGGATGTCTACCTTATGTCAATGCTACACTGCAGTCACAGTTTCAGCCTCAGTAATTATAAAATTAACATTCTCCCAACGCTGCTCTGACGACACAATGTGCACTCGGGCAACTAACTCTTTATCTGCAAAGTGCCTTTATGAAAGCTGATCTCTGCCCTGTAACCACATCACTGTTTCAGACAGCAGACTCCTTTTTATTGTTCATGAGCTGACTCCTTTCAGGACTTGTACACCTCTCAATTTGCAATGATCAACAAAGGGATTTTTTTCCCCCCTACATTTCCAGAATTGGGTGGGGTAGTACATCTTTTCAGAGGAGTATTGCCTCCGCTGATATGTCTGTGGAGCAAACCACAGTTGTGAGTGTAGCATGATGGCTTCAGTTATCTACTACAGGAAAAAATAGGAGGAAAGACCCAAAACAATGAGCTTTTGACTTGTGGAATCAGAGTGTGAACCCTAGGGTCCTCAGGTCCACATTCAAGTTGCTGATATGCTGATGCCAGTGCTGTTCCCTTTGCTGCCCTAGTTGTACATGCTAGTTACGGGAAGGGTCCGACTGTTGCCTCTTGCCCCCCAAGCAGGAAAATACAGGCCAGCCCAAGAGTGGCAGGTCTTCCTGGGCCTGTGGCCCATTAGCTTTGCTTGATCACCCCACAGGTCTCACCTGGCTGATGGCTGCTGTATCCTTTTTGTTCAGTCGTTACCCTGTTGATTGAACTGGTAACACCCAGGCACAGGGCCCCACTGTCTGCTCTACAAACCTGCAAAGGTGCCGAGCGCTTTGAGCTCTCCTGCTGTGTTTGTGACCATGGGCACGTTGAACTGGTTGTGAATGACAAACACCCATCCCATTTCCCTGGATTTCCACCAGAGGGGACTCTTTTCCTACCTGGAGACCGTGTTTAGAGGCCGAAGCGGTCCACAAGTGCTAGCAGCTTGCTTGTGCCTCTCTCCCTGCCCTTGGTGTTTGACTTGGCGTTCAGATCGGCTGCTGTGCTATTTATTTTCCCCTTACATTGTGGATCTTGTGGGGGGTGAATCTCCCTTCTGTCCAGCTGAGCTCTTGCATCTTACTAGGTAAAACTGGTTTCCAAGCTTAAATAATACTGTGTGTGTTTGGCACGCGAGAGTTATCTTCGTTTCCTCCCCTGCTCCTCAGCCTCTCGTACACAGTGGTGGGCCCCATTTCTGGCAAGCAAAGTGCAAGGCTAATTACACTATCATTAGTGTGTTCTTGTGACATCATAAAATAGGCCAGGAGTACCAATGCCAAGGGATTATTTCTGTTTCCAAAGTTTCTGGAGCTCTCCCATCCCTGCAGAAGACTTGGCTTCGCAATCAGAGGCGGCCCTTATCAGACATGCATCAAGGAGCTTGGAGAGGCCCAGTGACACGATGGGCAAGCGCTGGGCTGCAAGTCAGCTGGGAGTCTCTGCTACTTGCCAGATACAGGTGGTCTTGGGCAAGTTACTTAGTGCCTCTGGGGCTTTCTGTGTCCTGCCTCTAGTCTGTCAGCAGTTGAGAGCAGGGGCTCTGTGTGAGCATGTGCTCTGCCCAATGCACTGGTGCCCTGATCTTGGCTGGGGACTCTGACTGCTGTCATAATAAGAATAAACTGGCTCGAGGAAGAGGTTGTGACTTCCCCCTATCTTGCCACAATCACATTTTTCTGCATGGGCAGCACAATTCACAGTCAGTCAATGGGAAATCTCTGCCTCCCCAGCCCCCTTTCCCTGCAATTAACCCTTTTGCTGTAAAAACAATAGCCACCATCTCTGCTGCAGGATTTGCAGGGACATGCCATGTTCCAGTGGATGCTTGGAGGTGGCGAATGCAGATGGGGGTGGGTCGGTGTGTTTAGGGCTCTGGGGGAGAGGTGCATTTTGTTGTCACTGTCATTGCTTCTTGCTGGGGGAGCAGGAGTGGAGTGTGCTGTGGTGACAGCCCACTCAGCCCTCTCCTATGATACCGTGACCTCCTGCACAGACCTCAGTTTTGCATTAGTGTAGCCAAGTCATCCTCACAATCACCATGCTCCCTGTCTCGTGCTGCACTTCTGGAAATGCTTTTTACCATGTGGATCTTCCTTAATCTGGATCTGCAGGACCTTTGAAACTGATACACCCACTTTC